AGCCACAACACATTAAAAAGCCACAATGGAAATGACCGCGGGACTCTATTTTTCGACGGACCGATCAAGCGGCAAGTGAAGAAGAAGAACTACAACGTGAAAAGTAAAGGAATGTGAATTTCCCTTGTGGCTTTTTTTGGTTTGTTGTGGCTTTTTGTTGTGTTGTCACATTTGTATTTGTTGCAGCGTTTGCGTTTGTTGTGACCCCTCTCAGCTTCTGTACACTACCGATTTATACATTTATCATACTTAGTGTCAGAATCCTTTTGAATGAACGCTAAGTTTAGTATAATATTGTAAAATCTTCATTGGTTTACCATTGTACTGAAAATTCTTTGAGATGTACTGACACAATCCCAATCTCTATAACTGATTCTACATTTTTTATGTCATTCTATTTTACTTTTCATTCTTGTGTTCAACAGTGTTGTGCCATGGAAGACTACTGTTCAGCAAAGCAGAGACTAAAGTGATTGAAGCAACAGAAGGGGGAAATTTTACAGCCCAATGTTTTAAGTATTTTTATGGAAACAAAAAAAATCTTCTGTCAAAATGATTGTAAAGAGAAAGAAGACATTTTGGTTGAGACTGCAAACAACCAACTGCAGAATGGAAGATACGGCATTGAAGTTATCAAAGAATCTCCATTGTCTTCAAGTGCACAATTGTTATTTGTGCACATAACAAATGTGAGAAGATCTGATGCAACAAGTTTAGTCTGGAATACGAAAAGAGAAATGAGATCAATGCAGAATTTATATTAAAAGTCATCAGTGGTAAGTTCCATAACAACCCCTCCACATTTGGAAGTAACAATAAAAATATCTATATCTATCTCCCCTCCTTGAACCGTCACCTTATCGTGGTGGAGGGGTTTGAGTGCCCAAATGATCCCGGGAGCTATGTTGTCGGGGGCTTCATGCCCCTGGTAGGGTCACCCAAGGCAAACAGGTCCGGGGGGACGGGTCAGACGAAGAACGGTTCAGAAGCCCCACATGATGAGCAACACACAGAGGCCAGTTACATTGCCCGGATTGGCGTCACCGGGGCCTCACCCTGGAGCCAGGCCTGGGGTGGGTGCTCGTCAGCGAGCGCCTGGTGGCCGGGCCTTCCCCCACGGGGCCCGGCCGGGCTCAGCCCGAAGGAGCGACGTGGGGCCGTCCTCAGGAGGATCCATATGGGGCTGGTGCAGAGAGATCTGGGCAGCAGTCGAAGGCGGGGGCCTCAACGACCGGATCTCCGGGCATGGAGACTAGCTCTGGGGACATGGAATGTCACCTCGCTGGGGGGGAAGGAGCCTGAGCTTGTGCGGGAGGTTGAGCGTTACCGACTAGATATAGTCGGCCTCACCTCCACGCACAGTTTGGGCTCTGGAACCCAACTCCTTGAGAGGGGCTGGACTCTCCATTTCTCTGGCGTTGGCCGCGGGGAGCGGCGGCGGGCTGGTGTGGGCCTGCTCATTGCCCCACAGCTCAGCCACTGTGTGTTGGAGTTCACCCCGGTGAACGAGAGGGTCACGTCCCTGCGCCTTCGGGTCGGGGACAGGTCTCTCACTGTGGTGTCGGCCTACGGGCCGAACAGCAGTGCTGAGTACCCGGCCTTCTTGGAGTCCTTGGGAGGGGTACTAGACAGTGCACTGACCGGGGACTCCGTTGTTCTCCTGGGGGACTTCAACGCCCACGTGGGCAACGACAGTGACACTTGGAGAGGGGTGATTGGGAGGAACGGCCTCCCCGATCTGAACCCGAGCGGTGTTTTGTTATTGGACTTCTGTGCTAGACACGGTTTGTCCATAACGAACACCATGTTCGAGCACAAGGGTGTCCATAAGTGCACGTGGCACCAGGACACCCTAGGCCGGAGGTCGATGATCGACTTTGTAGTCGTGTCATCTGATCTCCGGCCGCGTGTCTTGGACACTCGGGTGAAGAGAGGGGCTGAGCTGTCAACTGATCACCACCTGGTTGTGAGTTGGGTTCGCTGGCGGAGGAGGAAGCCGGAAAGACCTGGCAGACCAAGCGTGTAGTGAGGGTCTGTTGGGAACGTCTGGCAGAGCCCTCTGTCAGAGGGACTTTCAACTCACACCTCCGGGAGGACTTCTCCCGGATTCCGGGGGAGGCTGGAGACATGGAGTCCGAGTGGGCTTCATTCTCGGCCTCTATTGTCAATGCAGCTGCTCGGAGCTGTGGGCGTAAGGTCTGTGGTGCCTGTCGCAGCGGCAATCCCCGAACCCGGTGGTGGACACCGGAAGTAAGGGATGCCGTCAAGCTGAAGAAGGAGTCCTATCGGGCCTTGCTGGCTCGGGGGACTCCTGAAGCAGCTGACGGGTACCGGCGGGCCAAGCGTGCTGCAGCCCGTGTGGTCGCGGAGGCAAAAACTCGGAGCTGGGAGGAGTTCGGGGAGGCCATAGAGGAAGGACTATCGGACGGCCTCAAAGAGATTCTGGCAAACCGTCCGGCGCCTCAGGAGGGGGAAGCAGTTCTTCACCAACACTGTTTACAGTGCGGGGGGAGAGCTGCTGACCTCGACTGAGGACGTTGTCCGGTGGTGGAAGGAATACTTTCAGGATCTCCTCAATCCCACCGTCACGTCTTCTGAGGAGGAGGCCGAGTCTGGGGACTCGGAGGTGGACTCATCCATCACCCTGGCTGAAGTCACTGAGGTGGTTGGACAGCTCCTTGGTGGCAAGGCTCCAGGGTTGGATGAGATCCGTCCTGAGTACCTTAAGTCTCTGGATGTTGTGGGGCTGTCTTGGCTGACACGCCTCTTCAACATCGCGTGGCGGTCGGGGACAGTACCTCTGGACTGGCAAACCGGGGTGGTGGTCCCTCTGTATAAGAAGGGGGACCGGAGGGTGTGTTCCAACTATAGGGGGATCACACTCCTCAGCCTTCCCGGTAAGGTCTATGCCAGGGTACTGGAGAGGAGAATCCGGCCGATAGTCGAACCTCGGATCCAGGAAGAGCAGTGTGGTTTTCGTCCTGGCCATGGAACACTGGACCAGCTCTACACTCTCCATGCTCGAGGGTTCATGGGAGTTTGCCCAACCTACCGTGTCCCTCGTGGTGTCCTGTGGGGGGTGCTCTGGGAGTATGGGGTCCGGGGCCCTTTGCTAAGGGCTGTCCGGTCCCTGTATGACCGGAGCAGGAGCTGTGTTCACATTGCCGGCAGTAAGTCAGACCTGTTCCCGGTGCATGTTGGACTCCTCCAGGGCTGCCCTTTGTCACCGGTTCTGTTCATTGTGTTTATGGACAGAATTTCCTGCTTAGGCTGCTGCCCAGCCCTGGATAAGCGGACAAAAATGAATGGATGGAATAAAAATATCTGTAATTAAATAAATGAGAGTTAAATGTCATAGTGTAGTTTCATTTTAGTGTGATACTGTGGAACATTCCAGTAAAGCAATAACATTTTCATGAGACAAGTAGGTGAAAGAGCCAAAGATTCACCTATTCTGTTTGAGTCATGAATTATTCATGGATTTAGTAAACATGAGTTTGGTGACATCAAAATCCAAAGTGAGAAGAACTGTAAAGTGTTATTTATAGAGGGGATGAGGGGATTGATAAATGTTTTGATCTTTTTATCAGGTTGTCCCTCGCTATATTGCGGTTCACTTTTTATGGTCTCGCTGTTTTGCAGATTTTTTTGGTACAATTTTGCATGTTTTTTTGTTTTTTTTACAGTGTATGAAGGCACATTGTGTTCCTCCCCCTGCGTCCTGATTGGCTAAGGGGCTGTAGACCATTGTCAATCAATCTCCTCTGTGCCGTGTCTCCTGTACAGTACAGAATGCGTTCACTTACCAAATGTACATAAATGTTCGCTCTCTATCAGTGTGATTCTGAAGTGCTGAATGTTTGCAAGTTTTCTGCCTGACAAAACCCACAATGTCGACAAAACGTTCTGCACTGACAAAGGCTCCTGCGGTCACACCCAAAAGGCAGAGGAAGGTGCTAACCATCGCACAAAAAACTTCTGGACACACTGAAGGAAGGTAGAAGTTACGCGGCTGTGGCAGAGTCCTGCACCGGGTTGGGTGCAGGAAAGAGTTGCTGAAATGGGCGGGTTTTAATGTTCTGGAATTTTACGGGCAGGTATGCGAGCGGGTCAGGACTAAACCAGGAATACACCAGAATTAAACCAGGTCTAAACCAGGACTAATGTTGGACTTAAGAGAGCCCCCGGAGCAGGTTGTCCACAAAGCACGATCAGGCGACGGCCACATTTACTTCCGTGAGGTGCAGAGCTGAGCCGGTCCTTTCTCCTGCAGTCACCTCCAAGCCTGCTCCGACAGTGAGTCCTGTTTCAGTCCTGGTTAAGTTCTGTTTTAGTCCTAGTTCAGTTCTGCTTTAGTCCTCCTGTTTCAGTCCTGGAATCAGTCCTACGTTTAGTCTTGGGTTAGTCCTGGTTTAGTCTTGGTTCAGTCCATGGTGTAGGCAGCACAAAAGTTTGATATAATCTCGGGCTGACGGGTGGGTGTGGTGTTATACTGCTCGGGTGCGGGTCTCCAAAAATGGACCCGTGCAGGACTCGGTGCTGTAAACTCCATTACGGAATAAATTAATCTTTGTTCATTCATTTCATAAAGGACAAAAATAACAAAAGGACGACAGCAGCAATAAGTTTTAAAAAGGCTGCAAAAAAGGTCCTATGTGAGAAAGTGTTTTAAGTGTGTGGTGAGGGATTTTACAGCCTTAAAACAGATATAATAATTGTTAAATATAAAGTTGACTACATTGATTTCACCTGACCATGTATTTTCATAGGGAAGCTGCAGGGGGAGCTCTATCACTGAAAAGTTACTTCTGCTTTAAAAGTTGATTATGCTTAACATGTCTCCTTTAATCTTTCTTTGCAGTGGAAACCCCAACACCAGGTTTGACCCTCGGAGCTGCTCCCACCACATCCCTCCATAATGTGACACCAGCACAGACGACACAAAGGACACAAGAAGCATCTGAAGTGACGAGCTCACAGCAACCTCAGGAGGAGCACAACTCATCCACACTGTCTGGTAGCTTCTGAAAAATGATGTTCAGAATTACATCTGCATGATTTGAGTTTCACTGACACTTCTGAACACGTCTCTTTCAGTTGTGCTGCAGTATGTTGCTGTGAGTGTAACCACCATTCTGATTATTGTATCAGGGAGTATTTTGATTTGGTGCTGGAAAAAGAAAACCAATAGACCAACAGGTGAGCCACACTCCAATGGAAACAATGCACTTTTTTGTCTTCTTCTTCATTTAATACTTTTTTACAGAAGATCCAACTGCTGCTGATGACTGTGAAATTCCAGAGGTGAGCCAATACACTGACCCCCAACCATGTGCAGTAGTTTATTTATTTATTTATTTGTAATAAAAATGAAATAGTCTTTAAAAGAACTCTATGTAGCCTGCGCAATTACAGTTTTTAAAAAGGGTCTAACAATCCCATTTGAACCTGGTGCTGTTGTCTTAACCTGCAGACAGGACACATACAAGAATTTGTGATTCTTTTAGTCAGACAGGAGTTTGTTTACTGTCTTTACATGTTTCAGTTACTTCCTGTAGTCTTTCTCAGAAGTGTCATGCGTCAGTGCAGTGACATGTCCTATACACTGAAGCAGCTTACAAGACTCATCACTACAACAGTACATGTTTAAAACCCGTTTAAAACTGATGACAGAGTGAACTTTTACCAAAGAGCATGTACAGTACAAATTTCCTTCGTTCTCAGTGCATGGACAGAATCTAGTGTAGCAGCAGAGGCTGCACTAGCACTGATTCATGACTGACTGTAGGTCCTGGGTTTAGGTAGGATTCAGATCAGAGAGAAAGTCCTTTTAGGTTTAAACTAGAGACCCATGTGAGGCTCATTCAGCTTTCTGATTGAATAATCATCTTGAGAACCAAACATACAGTATATTACAACTTGGCCAAAAAATGTGCATTATATTATAATTATAACTGCTGTCAGTAAAACTCTATTTGATTTGAACATTGTTTCTCATTTCTGGGGACATAATGTTTAGGAAATTTATTTTAAAAATCTTATCCAGCTCCTTTTAAAATGTGTGATATAGTGCCCATTAATAAAAAAAAAAAAAAAAAAAAAAAAGAGAGAGCTAGAAATATTCTGAACCAGTGATCCAAAAATGTTTGCTTATTAGTAGCAGGCACTGAATGTTGTAAAGCAGATCTTTTATGTAAAAGTAACTTTTCAGAGCATTTAGCAATGTTATAGTTATTTCCCCTCTCCTGAAGTGGAGTTGGAGTGATTTGTGCATTTTTGAGCAAACTTAAATCACTTATTTTCTACATGCCATACATATATTGCCGTTCATCTCCTGCCACCAGTACACAGCCTCTGTCCTCTGCTCTGTACTTACTTCATTCTCAATTTTTTTTTTTCTTAAACTGTGATAGGTAGGATTTGTGAGTGTTGCCTAGTCATTTTGGTACAAATGAAAAAAAAAAAATAAATATAAAAATCTGCTACTTACTAGTGTGATTTGTTGCTGTCCATCTGAGTTGTTGACAGCTGTGTGGTACTTTGTTGTGATGTTTACGGTGACGTCAGCTCTCATTGGGCTCTACAGTTTTCAAACGCGGAAATCAGTGGATTTGTTTCTTTCATTACGTCAAATGGTTTTGATGAATATGAATATTAAAAAGTTTATAAATTATAACATAGTGGTTCACAAGTGTCAGAGATTAAAACTATATACCAGAAACAAGCACAGGAGGATTAACCTTTTATTAGACAAGAGTGCAGCTTTTTCACAACGTGTTAAACCAAAATCAAATGTTTTACAGACAAACAGACTGTATGAGGAGATCCCAGCTCAGATCAGACCTGGTCCTGTGGAAAACTGTACTTCTTTTTCTTCCTCCCACCAGAAAACCACACAGACGGTCTACATCTTGGCCTCCAGTGCACAAGAACGGGTAAGAAACTGAAGTGTTACCCACAACACTAAAGAGTATTTCACAGGTTAGACTACTTACTCATTTCATCACTCTTACCTAGCAACCATAATGTTAAAAGATGGGGTTTAATGCAACATCTTTCTTACCATTTTATAACATTGCTCCCTTATCAAAAACATGCCTGAAGCGAGACCTAGTCAAACTTTTCTTATGGTCAGAGAAATATACATGTGGCGACACAAAGGGTTTAGGAGGGAAACCCAACGTAATATAATTTAACAAAACCAACAACGCCAATGGGCATAGCCCAGAAATTTAAACTAAATTTGCTAATCTAAAATAAGGCTCACAGGTTCGTTAATTGATAGACAGAGACAAGTGACTTACAAAACATGAAATTATTTATTGTTACCATTATTCATTTGTTTCCCTTTTGTTATCTTAACTTTAAGAGTAGACTGTTCACTGTGCACATAACTGCCGATTAAGGGCTTCACAAAAGCAGCTGTACGATGACTTTGTCCTTACAATATAAAACACAATAATAACAAAGCAAAGAACATTATATTTTATCCTTCACTTGGTAGTAGCCCCATACATGAACCTAAACCAGTGACCAGCCAACGTACCACAAAACACATGCTTCTACATCCACGAGGCTTGACACCGAGCAGCCGGGCCATCTGAACAGCAACACCGACCCAACCGTGGACAGCGGCTCACAGTGGCGCTAGTAGCGATCAACAGCAAAATACACACAGGAGCTTTACTCACAAGCCATAACTTCGATCGGGCCATCGGAACTCTAGGAGCGGTGGCACTACAATAAAACCACACATTAAATTATAAAATTGTAATTGTAATTAGAGAACAGCAGTTGTTTACCTGTGCGTGACAAGGCGGAGCCTTATCCCGGAAGTGCGCCGAGGTCAGAGAACGAGACGCTACGGGGAGTGCCCTTTTATAAGCCCAGGCGCCACCTGGTGGCAGAAGGCAGCAGGCGCGCACTGCTACATACAGAACCTGCACCACTGTTCTGAGCCCATGCAGCACGTTCCAACAGAATGTCCCCCATGTTGGTACTGGACACTTAAGGTTTCTAACATAAAAACCAGTGCAATTAGAGGTCCAGCAAAAGTCATGTCTCATTATCTTTTCCACATAGTTTAGCATTTATATAAACAAACACTGTATATCTTTTGTACATTAGTGTTGTTTTTAAAGTTAAAGTTCCCTCTCATGTAAAATAACTCTTTTCACATTGTATCTTCTGCCCATAAACAAGCACAATTTGGGTTTTGGAACATCCATTACACCATTATGTTATGAAATCTTACTGATTTCTTGGAGACAGTCACAGACCAGGAACTATGAAAGGCCGACTATTGCTCCTCCCCTCGCCCGTCCTGAGAAAGCACAGGCTCCGCCCTCCAAATGTGACATAGGCGAGTGAGCCGCCCTTCCTCCGCCCATCTCAGGGAGGGAGGGGGAGACAGGCGTGCACCCTGATAGCGGTAGAAATAAACTTTTATTCATCACGGAGATACAGCGCGTTCAGCCGCATGTGTTGGACCCGGAATTGGAAGAGGACTTTGAGGAGCACGAAGCTCAAGCACCACGTCCACATCAGCTGAACATTACTGATTGGTAAAGTATTAATCGCACTAGTAGATAAACTTATTATATCGTGTTCACTGCAGTGTAGAACAATGAGTTTTATGCTGTCGCTTTTCTTTAGGTGTTTATGTGGGAATTGNAGTGAGCAACAACACAGAAAATCTAAAGTGTGTAGCCTGCTCCAACAGTGCTTCAAACAGGAAGTCTAAGAGCGGCTCCTCTCTCTCTCTGGAGCGGCTCCTCTCTCTCTCTGGAGCGGCTCCTCTCTCTCTCTGGAGCGGCTCCTCTCTCTCTCTCTCTCTCTCTCTCTGGAGCGGCTCCTCTCTCTCTCTGGAGCGGCTCCTCTCTCTCTCTGGAGCGGCTCCTCACACACACACTCACACACACATATACACACACACACACACACACACACACACACACACACACACACACACACACACACACACACACACACACACACACACACACACAGCACACACACACACACACACACACACACACACACACACACACACACACACACACACACACACACACACACACACACACACACACACACACACACACACACACACACACACACACACACACACACACACACACACACACACACACACACACACACACACACACACACACACACACACACACACACACACACACACACACACACACACACACACACACACACACACACACACACACACACACACACACACGCACACGGTCAGGAGAGGAGGAGAGGTTGGACTTTTAGTGTAAGAATAAATCATTTTAATATTAATAAATCACATATGTGTATGAGAGAACATTTTCCTCCTATTACTGTGCCTGTTTGAAAAATAAATAAATGTTTGTTTGTTTTTTTCAGCCTGAGATATGAGAGAGGCGTGACAAGTGGCACCTGAGAAAGGAAGGAAATGATATATGTGTGACTTTGTGCAGCTGAAAAGTGTTCGCAGTCAGTCAGAACCCAAAAGTGTCAAGGACATCAGTTGAACATGAACATGTGTTCACTATTGATGCTGTTTGTTGGTGAGTACTTGGCTTTTGGACTCTTTATAATGCACCAGAATACATCAGAATGTTATCAGAATGTTCAAATATAAATGTGTCCTTCTTATATGTTCCATTGCAATCGTGCATATTCATGTAGAATGTTCAGAATGATCTAAACAATGTCACTTACATAATATTCAGAAAAGGAACAAATTCAAGAATGAAAAATACAGAAACACACTTGGACATATTTATGCATTTATGAAGTTTATGTTTCGTTTTTATTGCTATGAATATTTGCATTGTAGATTTTCTCTCCAAAACTATGAATGAAAACATATGGAATGAAGTAAACAAAAAATAAATGTAAAATATATATATTAAAATATATATATATTGAGTGATTTACCTTTTTCTTCTTTGATTCATAATTCACACATCTTGCATTGTATATTTGATGTCTATATAAAATGTAGAAAGATGGTGTGTCCAAACTTTTAACTGCCAGTGTAATTCTAATGTGTCTGTTGAGTTTGCATCATGTTCCATTGTCCATCTCATTGTCTCTATTCCAGTATTTTTATGTATTTCTGTACAAAATGACTTTTCATTCTTGTGTTCAACAGTGTTGTGCCATGGAAGACTATTATTCAGCAAAACAGAGACTAAAGTGATTGAAGCAACAGAAGGACACAATTTTACAGCCCAATGTTTACTTTATTTCAATGGAAACAAAAAAATCTTCTGTCAAAATGACTGTAAAGGGAAAGAAGACACTTTGGTTGAGACTGCAAACAACCGACTGCAGAATGGAAGATACGGCATTGAAGTTATCAAAGGATCTCACACGCAATTACTACAATTAAATGTGATCATCACAAACGTGAGAAGATCTGATGCTGGGTCATACACATGTGGTCTGGAACATGGAGAGATTTCAACATTTATATTAAAAGTCATCAGTGGTAAGTTATTTCCACATTTGACATCACCAGACGATTGTTCATTTTAAACTCTGCACTTTGGACACGACCAGTAGAAACTGGACACACCGTCTCCTTCATTGTCTTTTTCTTCATGTTTATCACTTTCTACATTATAGATTCATACAGAAGACTTCAAATGTATGATGCAAAATGTATGGAATTATCAAACAAAGAAACAAAAGTGAAATAACTCAACTAAATATTTGTATATTTTATATTCAAATTCCTCAAAGTAACCACCCTTTGCTTTGTTGACAGAGCTGCAAACTCTTGGCCTTTTCCCAGTAACAGAGAAATAAAGTTACTTGAAATGTTTTTTACTTCACAGGTGAACCAGGGTCAGGGTCAAGGAACACCAATTGTCAAAAGCTGTGATAAAAGCAAAGGGTGTCTGTTTTCAAAACAAGTTTCGATTTAGTTAGAGTTTATTTTTGTTCCTACAATCTATAAATGTTCATTCATAGTTTTGATGCCTTCAGTGATGGAAATAAAGCAGAAACATGAATGAGAAGTGTCCAGACTTTTGCCTGGTAGTGTCCGTTTTTAAGTGGACGGTCCAAAATCCTTTTTTATTTATTAATTTATCTTCACAACAAGACCACATTAAGACCTTTGTCTTAACGTTTTTCTGCTATGTTTCACAAAACTGTATAAAACTTATCTCCATGGAGACCAGCAGATAACTCCACCAAACCAAGTAGTTTTTGGCATTAATGAAAAGTAGATTAAGTTTAATGCCATACCATGAAACATTCCTGGCAAAACAATCAAGTATGTGACCCTGCACCAGAAAAGTTAAATAGTAAACCTTTTTTTTTTTTTTTTTTTAAAGCACTTTCACTTTCAGAACTTTTCAAAGTCAATATTGCCCTTCATAATTTGTTTAAATAGATGCAGAATCTTACATGTGTCACATTTTGTGTGAGGAAAACACAGAAGTCCAGAGCAGAGGGTGAGTATGGGGTATAAAGGAAAATGGAAATGGAGCTATGGTGTTTTGAATGCAGGAGAATGCAGATATTTGTGGAGAGTTTTTCCCTTTTAGCCCACAGCCCTCTTGGCTACATGGTAATGAGTCAAAGATTGCAGACACACTCACTCTGGCCGAGCTTTTAAATGTCACAGCCGTCACAGATTGGTTCAGATGCCATCACCATATATGTACCTGTACCATCCTACTCCAGCAGCCAAATACTGCTGACCTGTTCACACTCACTCACAAGGAAAATCATGAATCAAATCTGTCTTTTTGTCCCTGTTATTGTATAGATCGATTATTGCATCAGCCAGTAATGTGATATAGATATTCTTGAATCTTTAATCCTTTAATCTTTCTTTGCAGTGGAAACCCCAACACCAGGTTTGACCCTCGGAGCTGCTCCCACCACATCCCTCCATAATGTGACACCAGCACAGACGACACAAAGGACACAAGAAGCATCTGAAGTGACGAGCTCACAGCAACCTCAGGAGGAGCACAACTCATCCACACTGTCTGGTAGCTTCTGAAAAATGATGTTCAGAATTACATCTGCATGATTTGAGTTTCACTGACACTTCTGAACACGTCTCTTTCAGTTGTGCTGCAGTATGTTGCTGTGAGTGTAACCACCATTCTGATTATTGTATCAGGGAGTATTTTTGATTTGGTGCTGGAAAAAGAAAACCAATAGACCAACAGGTGAGCCACACTCCAGTGGAAACAATGCACTTTTTTTTTTTTTATCCGTCTGGTTCATTTAATACTTTTTTACAGAAGATCCAACTGCTGCTGATGACTGTGAAATTCCAGAGGTGAGGGAATACAAATAAAATAGAAATGAAATACTCCTTGAAGGAACTGTATGTATTCTGCGCTAACACAGTTTTTAAAAAGTACTTAACAATCCCAACTGAACCTGGTGCCGTTGTCTTAACCTGCAGACAGGACACATACAAGAATTAGTGATTCTTTTAGTCAGACAGGAGTTTGTTTACCGTCTTTACATGTTTCAGTTACTTCCTGTAGCAGCAGAGGCTGCACTAGCACTGATTCATGATTGGCTGTAGGTCCTAGAGGTGAGATCGGGCCTAAAAAATCCAGCCCGACCCGACCCGGCCCGCGGGTATTAAGACCCGACCCGGCCCGAGCCCGACCAATTAACTTGATTTGCAGGCCCGAGCCCGAAGCAAACCCGAAATGTCATATTTTATTTGTGAGGACTCGGGAGGAGGAGCAGTGCTCAGCGTCGAGGTGCCAGTCTTTTTGCTCTCGTATGAAAGCAAAGCGCCACATTGACGACATTCAGCGAAGCCAACGCAAGTTTCTGTAGCATTTTCAACAATCAATTTGAAGCTTTTCCACACCTCACTCTTACCGGTGCGTGTTTGTCTTTTCAGTTCTCCTGCCTTTAGTTTAACTTCTTGCTCCTCCATATTGGGGATACCAGGTCAAAATAGATGCAGACTTGCGGAGGGGAAGATGATTAAATGAAGAGGGGGCGTTCACGTGCGCAGAGCTCTGGCTCTGCGGATCCTGTTTAGTAGTTAAATAGCAATTACATTACATTACTTCTCTGTTTTATCCATATTATTTATTTTATAACAAGTATTCCTTAGTTTAGTATCCACACATCGTTTTAGCATACATTTTATAAACATATATTTATTTGAAGCCCGAGCCCGACCCGACCCGAAGTAATGATTGACATTTTAGACCCGACCCGACCCGAAATTCGGGTCGGGTCGGGCTTGGGCTCGGTCTTAAGATCTTACCTCTAGTAGGTCCTGGGTTTACGTAGGATTCAGATCAGAGAAAGTCCTGTTCTGAATTCATCAAATAGCTTGGAATAGTGCGCTGAGTGAGGAAGGCGTTAGGAAAAGGAGCCTGCATGCTTCCTTTCACAGCTCCTTTAGCAAAGGAAACTCCACAGCTTCAGGAGCATAAGGAGCTATGAGATCCCACATATGTCATTTCAGTGAAAGTTTCTGAACACAGCCGATTTTGGCATAAAGAGCTTGTAATGCTTTAAAAGTCTCATTTTTTCAGACATTTTACAATTAAATACAACATATCTGGATAAACCCAAGTTTATATAAAAATGAGTTTATATAAAAGTGGTGGCTCCTAACACCGTGTGAGCTCTGTTATCCTCTGTTGTGGTTTTTTCTTTTTTTTTTTTTTTTTAGGTGCCTCAGGGGGGTGCCAGTCAATTCACCCACATTGCCTAGTATGAAAGTGGTGTGTGTGTGTGTGTGCGTGCGTGTGTGTGTGTGTGTGCGTGTGTGCGCGTGTGTGTGCGCGTGTGTGTGCGTGTGTGTGTGTGCGTGTGTGTGTGTGCGTGTGTGTGTGTGTGTGTGTGCGTGTGTGTGTGTGTGTGCGTGTGTGTGTGTGTGTGTGTGTGTGTGTGTGTGCGTGTGTGTGTGTGCGTGTGTGTGTGTGTGTGGTGTCGTGCGTGTGTGTGTGTGAGGATGGTGGTGGTTGTAGGGTCAATGGTGCAGCCCCAGGGCAGCTGTGACAATAGTAGTTTACCACCACCGAGTGTGGAATGAATGAATAATGCTCTGTAAAGCGTCTTAGAGTGTCCACAAAAGCACTATATAAAATTGATGCATCATTATTATTCTTTTCTGTTATTTTATTTTTTTTGTTTATATATTTACTGTTTTTATCTACTTATTTTTATTAGTACTTCTTTTACCTATTCTTTTATGTGTTGTTTCTATTAGTTCCTTTTGCCTGGAACATAATTCTGCTGACTTCTTAAAGTTGAATGTTTTACATTGCACTTTGGAAGCCTTCTTGTTTATTAAATGTGCTATACAAATAAAGTTGAATTGGACTGAATTGGAAAATAAAAGCATTAGGGCCATCATAGTTCTACACGCTTGATTTGTAGACTGCATGAGGGAAGACCTGTGCACATGTTATGTTTCATGGTGGGGATCTTGGGGGTGTGGGACAGAAGGATGAAGAGCAGCATGTCTTGTGATTGGATGGAATTTGTCTTGTATGTGATTGGATGGAATAAGTTTTGTATATGACTTTTGTCCATAGTCATTCATTGTTGTTACAGGAGCCCCTCAAAAAAGAGATGATGCATCTCAAGGGGCAATTCTTAATAACATTTGATTATTTAGTCTATTCTGTTGTGTTTATGGCTTTATTATATCAGGATGTCACAGATCGTACAGTCGGTGGTGTTTATTACAGAGCTCATGTAACAGCGTCTCTCTTGTGCAAACACTGAATTCACAAGTTTCTTAAGTTATTCATTTCCATAATGTTAGACAGGGGGTCAAAGGAGTCTGTTGTCCCAGGCCCCAGAGTTTTGAACCCTAAATTGGACCCAGAATTGCTAAAAAATAAAATAAAATTGGCAGACAGATTTATTAAGCTGGCAGAGAATACACAAGACATTTCCACAGATATTGTGCCTTAGAAAACCATTGAGTTTGAAGTTTGAAGTTTGGCTATGTGCTAATGTGATACTTCCGACTGCTGTGAAAAAGGTCTATGGGACACTGGAGTTTTCAACCGTGGAAGTCAGCAGACTTGTCTCTTTCATTTCAACATGTTTGATTAATATTGTGATTTAAAATGTTCAAATTATAACATAATGTCCCAGAGGTGTCAGAGATTAAAACTATGGAACAAGGACAAAAACTTCTTTCAGTTTTAATAACTAACATTTTACTAGACAAGATTGTAGCTTGTTCACAATGTGTTAAACCAAAAATGAATGTTTTACAGATGAGCAGACTGTATGAGGAGATCCCAGCTCAGATCACACCAGGTCCTGTGGAAAACTGTACTTCTTTTTCTTCCTCCCACCAGAAAACCACACAGACGGTCTATATCTTGGCCTCCAGTGCACAAGAACAGGGTAAGAAACTGAAGTGTTACCCACAACACTAAAGTGTATTTCACAGATCAGACTACTTACTGTATTTTTTCAGACTATAAATTGCTCTGGAATGTAAGTCACACCAGCTAAAAAATGCGTAATGAAGAAGAAGAAAAAAAAAAAACATATAAGTTGCACTTTTTTGGGGAAATTTATTTAATGAAATCAGAGACCAGGAACCGATATTTCATCTTGAAAGCCAAGTTGTAGTAATAACAACAGAACAGAGAACAACAGACTGTTAACGTCACATATGAACAGTTCTTCACATAAACTATAACATAAACAACAGAACAGAACAAGTTTACCAAACTCTCCATCTCACTCCAAATCACTAAATCCATTTAATTCTTCATCCTCGGTGTCACTTCTGAACAACTCTGTGACCTCTGGAGGTAAACAGAGCGTCGCTTCCTCTTCTGTGTCGCTGTCGTCAGACTCAGCATCAGTTCCAGTTAGAATTATTCGGGTCTTTCTGAATCCCGACAGGATGGTTTCAGTGTCACTGAAGTTCAGACATTGTCCATCCATCCAGTGACTTGAGGAAAGTTTCATGTTACATCCTCCCGGTGTCACAAGTTTCTTACTGACTCCAAACTTTCTTTCTGCTGCTCAATTGCCATTTTTGGCTGCAGATTTTGCTACTTGCAGTTTGTAATCTGCAAAATATGATTTTCTTTTTGGGGGCATTTGTGTTCAGTTTTCTCAGTCGTCTTTTTGTTTAAATGTTAAATTGTTCAGTGGTGCAGAAGTAATGGTGTGATCGACTGACATGATACAGACAGAACAGAGGCTCTTTCTGCAGGAGACATGTGCAGTAGAGTGAAGTGACAGTGGTACAGGAGGAACAGGAGCAGCAGATACTCACACACAAGACTAGAACCTCTTGCAACTGTCAGTATGAAAATATTCATTTATAAGTCGCACCGGAGTATAAATTGCAGGACCACCCAAACCATGAAAAGAGTGAGCTTACTGTACAGTCCGAAAAATATGGTATTTATTTCATAGCTGTTACCTCGCAACCATAATGTTAAAAAACAGGTATTATGCAAAATCTTTTTTTTTTTTTTTTTACCTTGTTAAAATGTTCCTTCATCAAAAACATGCCTGAAGCATTTTTATGTCATCTATGCATGTTTCAGTAATGTAGAGATCTCTCCCAGGCCCTATTCGAACCTTTCTTACAGTTCACTGTAAGTCTACATCTCCATAAACATACAAAAACATGATCACGGTGAGATTTGTCTGGGGGATGACGAGGGACACTTTTGGCTCTTCCTCTCTTCAAACTGCCCTGACACAGATTTTTGCTGCCCCTCCCTGACCAGTCGTCCTGTTAAACTGACCTGAGACAAAGGCACACAGACACAAAGGCCACAGAGATGCGCAGTGGAAATGTTGCTACAGCAAAATTTTTGTTTCCGTCAGAATTAGTAAAGTATCTCTCTCTCTTTACACGTGATGTGTAGTTAATAGACACATCAAGAATCTCAGACTTCCGGTCATTGCGCAATGCATACTGGGAAGGATCCAAAAAAGTGAGCATCAAACCTCCATGTTTGTTTTCCCAGTGGGATGTGTCTATTGACAAAGTCAGTCTTTTCTAGTCTTTTGAACCATATCACTTTTGTTTCTGGTTCTGATATCGTCATATTTTAGTTTTGGGATTCGGACATTGTAATTGTGTGGTTGTTGGATCCTAACAGTGGAAAACGGCTCGAAAAATGCGTTTGCGAACTCCAAAAATGCAAAAGGGAAATCAGATGTGTGTGACTGCAAACCTCTGTTCAAACTGTTTCCCTTCCCAACAGAATTGAAAAATAGTGAAAGGTGAAGGCCATGGGCAGGATTGATCCACAGGAAAGACGAAAAAATAAACCTTTGACTGCCTGAATCATCCCGAGTTTACAGAGAACATTTTGTATGTGGAGCGCCATCAAAGCAGGATCCTGTTTGTTACACAAGACAAACAGGACAAGCGAGTACTTTCTTGTTCTTGTGGTTTTACAGCAACATCACGTCTTGGTCTCTTTGCAGTGGAAGGTGTTTCTTGGTGAACAGTTGGTGCCTTTCGCTTTGGCGTTGACTTTTTAAATACGTAACCAAGTTGAGTGAGGGATCGGGATCCCACTTTGATGGTGCTCCACATACAAACTCAGGATGATTTAGGAAGTCAAAGTTTCCTTTTTCGTCTTTCCTGTGGATCAGTCCTGCCCATCACCTTCACCTTTCACTATTTTTCAGTTCCATTGGGAAGGAAAATTGTTTGAACAGAGGTTTGCAGTCACACACATCTGATTCCCTTTTGCATTTATGAAGTTCGCAAACAAATTTCTCAAGCCATTTTCCGTTGTTAGGATCCAACAACCACACAATTACGATGTCCCAATCCCAAAATTAAAATATGACAATATCAGAACCAGAAACAAAAGTGATATGGTTCAAAAGACTAGAAAAGACTGACTTTGTCAATAGACACATCCCACTGGGAAAACAAACATGGCGGTTTCATGCTTACTATTTCGGAGAATCCTTCCCAGTATGAAGTTGTGCAATGACAGGAAGGCTGAGATTCTTGATGCGCCTATAGGCTTCCCCACAGAAGTAAAATAGACCCCCCTCATTAACAGGAACCAAAACATGTCTAAATTTCAATGAAAACCCGTCATATACATTTTAAAATAGCCTACATTTAGTCTAAAATGTCATGCTCTGTCAATTATTATTATTTTTTTTTTTTACCCCAGATCAACCAACTGTATGAGGAGATCCCTGGTTCTGTGGAAGTCACTCCTGCTCCTTCCTGCTATAAGGAAAACGACATCTACAACCTGGTCTCATTGCCCGCTCAACAGCCACAGGCAAAGTAACATTCAAGAAATTATAAAAAGACTGACAAAAACAAGAATGGCATCATGGGCAAAACATGCTGACATGTTTGGCCGATAAACTGATAAAAACTACTCTATATGTGCTTCTGTCCTTGTCTTTTTATTTCATACTAGTGTTTGTCAGTATCGATTCATTTTACTTTACACTTGGTACATTTTACCTTCCTGTGAATGTACCCACTGAACATTCCAATGATATTCAGCTCTATGTGGAATTTCATCACCAACCGAACCACCAGAGAGGTACTTTTTGGGCACCGTGGGTTGAATCTCTCTTCTTTCTTGTATACTCTTTAAAGGGCCCATGTTATGCAAAATCAACTTTTCAGAGCTTTCTACCTTCTAAGAGTGATGTGTGTGGGCCTTGTATATGTCACCGAAGTGCGCTGTCGCCGTAGCAACGTGATGTTCTAATGCCGCCCTGGATCTCCATGGTGATAGAACTCTGCTTTATGACATCATCAGAGAAGCACGACGCTGCTTTAAAGTAAACTTTGAGTGACACAGTGAAATAAACACTAAAGTGACAGAACACTTTTACTACTGGTACTTCAAAGCAGCGCTTTGCTTTATGACATCCCTAATAACCCCCACCCCAACCCTAACCCAAAAACCCTAAACCCTAAACCCTGAAGTTGTAACAAGTTGTACATTTCAATAAAATTACATGTTACAGCTGTATGTTTTGTGCAAATGTTCAAGTCCATACAATAAACAAACACACAAATTATTTTGGCCTGTTTTTTTTTTATTTATTTTTTTTATATTCATAAAAAAAAAATTGAGTAAAATTAGCACATTCAGCTTCTGAAGCGCTGATGACTGTAACAATAAACAGTGCTATTTGCTGGATAAAATGTAGAATTTCCTGTGACAATATTTAAACACTAGCCTGAACATGTGGACACTGCAATCACTCAGTTAACTTGTCTGTCTTTTCACATTTGTTTTACTGACTGTTGAACACAACACATCCTATTAAGATACAACATTAACTCATTAACACCCATAGAACAGCTCATTAACATTGAATTAATGACATCCAAATCCAGGGGAATTCTTTATCCCAAAATCCATGTTTGTTTTAAAGGTACTGTAGCAGTCCAGTAGAGGAAGCTTTAAAGTATTGGCACATGTGTTTGCCATTGGGAATGTTGAACTTGCGAGAAACTCAAGGCGTGGCTTTGGATCCATTCCAGCTGGAGGCACGCGTGGCACCCCTGTGGCAAACATGAAGAGCTCCTCCAAGGACACCAAGGTGTTATTTTCTAAAAATGGACAGATATGAAAATAATCAGCTGAATGTAAACAGTCTCACTCTCTGTCTGTCTCACTGCCTGTCTCTCTCACTCTCTGTCTGTCTGTCTGTCTGTCTCTCTCACTTTCTGTCTGTCTGTCTGTCTCTCTCACTCTCTGTCTGTCTGTCTCTGTCTGTCTGTCTCTGTCTGTCTGTCTGTCTGTCTCTCTCACTCTCTGTCTGTCTCTCTCACCCTCTGTCTGTCTGTCTGTCTCTCTCACTTTCTGTCCATATACCAAACTCTCCATCTCACTCCAAATCACTAAATCCATTCAATTCTTCATCCTCGGTGTCACTTCTGAACAACTCTGTGACCTCTGGAGGTAAACAGAGCACCGCTTCCTCTTCTGTGTCGCTGTCGTCAGACTCAGCATCAGTTCCAGTTAGAATTATTCGGGTCTTTCTGAATCTCCGACAGGATGGTTTCAGTGTCACTGAAGTCCAGACTTTGTCCATCCATCCAGTGACTTCAGGAAAGTTTCATGTTACATCCTCCCGGTGTCACAAGTTTCTTACTGACTCCAAACCTTCTTTCTGCTGCTCCATTGCCGTTTTCGGCTGCAGATTTTGCTACTTGCAGCTTGTAATCTGCAAAATATGATTTTCTTTTTGGGGGCATTTGTGTTCAGTCTTCTCAGTCGTCTTTATAAGTTTGTTTAAATGTTAAATTGTTCAGTGGTGCAGAAGTAATAGTGCGATTGACTGATATGATACAGACAGAACAGAGGCTCTTTCTGCAGGAGACATGTGCAGTAGAGTGAAGTGACAGTAGTACAGGAGGAACAGGACCAGCAGATACTCACAGCTTTCTACCTTCTAAGAGTGATGTGTGGGCCTTGTATATGTCGCCGAAGTGTTTTTTAGATTGATTCGGTGTCTTTTTTTTTTTAACAAATTGCAGTGTATTTCTGTCACCCTCCCATGTGACAACGAAGTAAAGCTGCTACAACAATGACGCAGCAGCTACACCTATGATGCATTTGACATAGCAGAAAGCACTTCACATAGATGTGTAAGTTTACCGCTAGTAAACCGCTGAAGATAACTACAAGCAAAATGCAGCGTTTATTTTTTAAGATTATCTGACATATAATTTCAACCTGCATGTCATCTCCCTTGTTCTACCTGTTTTAGTTTGACAAACATTACGTAGTCCTACGATATTATATTGATACTAACAACAGACTTAGGGCATCATTTTATTCTAGTGAGTTGTCTTCAATGCTTCTGCATCATAGCAAAATGGAGATTACACCTCACACCTCAGTCATTCAATCAAGTTTATCTACTAACATTTATTAGTACTTTACCAATCAGTAATGTTCAGCTGATGCTGACGCGGTGCTTGTGCTTCATGCACCTCAAAGTCCTCGTCCGATTCCGGGTCCAACACATAAAGGCCAATTTACGGTCCAGCGTCAAATTGTCTGCAGAGAGTCTGTGTCGACGCGTACCCCCTAGCACTAGAGCCTCTGCGTTGACTGACGTGCACCTCCGAAATTTTCTAACTACGAGTCGAAACGACACAGACAGCAGGTGAAGCGACACAGACAATAAAGGCTTTGATTGGTCGTCGCTGCTCCCACACTACATACATTTCCTGTACTCCACTTTCTTTCAATATACATTGAGATAATGTGTTTAATGCAGCTTTGCGCATATGTGTTTACGTTTACGTTATTTCATTTCATTTGCAACATACAACATGCACACAGACATTAGACAGGACAAATACAGTACAGTGCATACACCGCCACAGCAGACAAGGTGTAAAGTATGTGTGTGCATGTGTGTGGAAGATTGTGTATGTATGAGTAAGAGTGTG